CTGGTCACTCTCCTCCTTGCTACCTTGTGCCTTTTGAAACCACAGCTGGGCCCGACTTCCTTAGAACTTTGTGGGTCAGCATTTGTTGCTCCCGTCCTCCAGAGCATTTCCTGAGTTTAATGCTCAAAAATGCCAGGCTGTGGTTCTGAGCACATTCCTGTAAGGTAACTCACCACGGGACAGTTTCTCAAACCAAGCCCACCACAAAGCCCAGAAGTCTAAAGCTCCTCATCTTTCTCACCACCCACGGTTCTTTCAGGCTGCAAACTCTTTCAGCATCTTCTTTGGATCTTCACCCCCAGCCCTTATATCTCTGAATCTGATCTGTCACAGAGTTTGGTCATGTTCATTCCCTAGAATGTCCCTCGGGCCCCCTCTGTGGTTCTCCTTGCTTGCTCATATTGATGAAGCCAGCTGCCGTGTTGTGACCTTCCCTGTGGACAGGCCTAGTGACAGAGAACCAGGGGACAGCCTCAGGCCAACAGCCCATGGGGACCTGAGTCTTGCCGGCTTGACCTGTGTCAGCTTGGAGGCAGACCCTTCCCCAGCTGAGCCTTGAGCTGATTGCCAGTGATGGCCTGGCCCACAGCTTGAGTGCAGAGAACCAGTTACGTCATGCCTGGACTCCCAGCCCACAGAAACAGAAATGAGCTCCAGGAAACAGTTATCAAGAAATGGAGTTGACAGGCATCCTGGTCTTCCTGAACTGTATGGAAATGAGTCTAAGATTTCACCATTCAGGATGAGAGGGCAGTTTTTTTCTTTCTAATAGATACTGTATTAGTCAGGGTTATTCAGAGAAACAGAACCGACAGGAGATACATATATAAACACATATATGAGAAAGAGAAGGAGGAAGGGGAAGGGAGAAGGGAAGAGAGAGATTGATTTACTGTAAGGAATTGGCTCACACAATCATGGAGGCTTGGTGAGTCCAAAATCTGCAGGGAAGGTTGGCAGACTGGCGACTCAGGGAAGAGTTGCAAGGGGTCCAAATGCAGTCTGCCAGCAGCTTTCCCTCTTGCTATGGTAGGTCAGTCTCTGTCCTATTAAGGCCTTTAGTTGATTAGATGAGGCTCATCCATGTTGTGGAGAGTAATCTGCTTCACTCAAGTCCACTGATATAAATGTTAATCTCATCCCCAAAACACTTTCACAGAAACATCTAGAATACCGTTTGACTAACTATTGGGGCATTGTGGCCCAGCCAAGCTGACATAGAATTAATCATCACGGATACTCTATATCTGGTTAAGTAAATGCCCTTCCATTCCTAACATATTAAGAGCTTTTCATAAATCTTGCATTTGTGTTGAATTTTATCAAGCAATTACTTTTATACTATTCTCATTTGGTCTATACCTTGTTAAATCAAATTTAACAGGAAAATAAAATATCCTTCAGTTCACTCGTTGCATCCCCACTGCCACAAGCCGTGTTGGTCAGAGAGCAGATTGCCAGCACAGACCCAGGAGCAGCGATGAGGCAGCTTGGAGGGCCTTCCTGTCCCTGAGACAAGCCCTGGGTCTGGGCCTTGCCCAGGAGGGGCCCACAGGCTGCAGGAAGAGCCTTGCACAATCCACATGGAGACTGTGGGTGGGCCTGACAGCTGCCTGAGTTGTAGGCCTCACTTGGATCAGGATGGGGCTGATGAGACCTCAGGTAATCAGGGAGCCTGGGGTAAGAGCAGCAGGTTGGGGGGCGGTGGCAGTGGGAGACAAACCTGCTCACACGCACACATGCACACTCATGCATCAGGGGTGGCCTTGAGCCTCAGTCCAGCCGGCTCTGGGACGCACAGAACTCTGGCTCTCTCTGGCTTTAGAGAAAGCTCCCCAAATGGAATAAGTCTTGCTTTCTTTCTTCTTCTTTTTTTTTTTTTCCTACTTGTGCCCCTGTCAGTCCCCAGAACATAGGTGCCCTGAGTCAGCCAAACCTCAAGGTTGAGGGAACAGTCCTCCAGACTGCCGAGTCTGCCCGGGACTTCTGACCCCACTTGCAAGGGAGTTACCAAACTGCAGCTTGAGGGAACATCCCCTTTACAAGAGAGCCCTCGTGACACCAGCTGGAAGTTCAGGGGTCCCGGGATGACCCTCACTTCAGATCAGCTGGCTACCAATTCCAGGGTCCCCAGCACCTCAGCTTTGATAATTGGCCAGAATGACTCACAGAACTCAGGAAAGATCTCTACTTACAATTACCGTTTATTTGACAGTGAGAGGGTACAGACTGAAGCCAGCCAGAGGGAGAGATGCACACGGCAGAGTCTAGGAGGGGTCTAAACATGGAGCTCCCAGTCATGCCCTCCCCACACGGTCACGGACCCGACGGTGTTGCCCTCATCCACCACAGTGTGTGACAATACCCACAGAATATTACCAACTAGGGAGATTCACCTGAGCCTTTGTGCAGAGTTTTTCCTGGGGCTTGATCACATACTGCCCATGAGGCTGACTTTGGTCTCCACTGGTCTGTCAGGCTCATGGCTTTAGTCCCAGTTCTTCTAGTCCCAGTTCTTAGGCAGCAACTAATACCGACTGTTCCAGAGTCCCCATCACAAATCACACTATAAGGCTGTGCAGCGGCCAGATTCCCAGGCAAACAAAGACACTCCCGTCAGGCAGGCCATTCAAGGGATGAAGAGATCACCGCTCAGTAGCCCAGAGCAAAGGCCTGACCTCTGTTCAGGTATGGTTAATTCTTCATTGTACAGTAGGACATGCCATAAAGTAAGTACCCAAACATGCAGTGTGGTGTGACAGCCTGGCTTGATTTTAAAGCCTCCAGGGACGCCTGGGTGACTCAGTTGGTTAAGTGTCCAACTTCAGCTCAGGTCATGATCTCACGGATCATGGGTTTGAGCCGTGCGTCAGGTTCTGTGCTGACACCTCAGAGCCTGGAGCCTGCTCAGGATTCTGTGTCTCCCTCTCTCTCCTGAAGTATTTCTTCCTCCCCCACTCATTCTCTCTCTTTCTCTCTCTCAGAAATAAGTAAGCATTAAGAAAGAAAGAAAGAAAGAAAGAAAGAAAGAAAGAAAGAAAGAAAGAAAAGAAAAGAAAAGGAAAGGAAAGGAAATCTCCAGTTCCAGTGCTGGCTTTGCACTTTTGAGTTTAAGTTACTTAACCCTTATTCATGCCCAACAAAGTTGGAAGGCTCACAATTGCTGATTTCAAAACAGACTACATACTACAGCCATCAAAACAGTGTGGTATAACATCAGGATAGACAAACAGATCAATGAAAGGAGCACAGATAGACACCCTTGCGTTCACAGCTGATTTTTCGGTGAGGGTGTCAAGACAATTCAGTGGGGAAAAAACTGCCTTTTCAACAAATGGTGCTGGAATAACTGGATATCCACATGCAAACAAGTGAAGTTGAACCCCTATTTCACACCATATACAAGAGTTAACTCAAAATGGACCAAAGACCTAAATGTAAGGGCTAACACTATAAAACTATTAGAAGAAAACATAGGTGTAAATCTTCATGACCTTGGATTAGACAATGGTTTTTTTAAATATGCCACCAAAAGCACAAATAGCAAAAGAAAATATAAATGGCACCATCACAATAAAAAACACTTCCCTGCTTCAAAGGATATCATCAAGAAAGTGAAGAGGCAACCCATAGATTGGGAGAAGACCTGCAAATCATATATCAGGGATCAGGGATTTGTATGTAGAAAATATAAAGAACTCTTACAATAATAAAAAGATACATAATCCAGTCAAAACGGGCAAAAAGATCTGAATAGATAAAAGAAGAAATGCAAAAGGCCGACAGTATGTGAAAAGAGCCTTAACATCATTAGCCATTAGGGGAATGCTGATAAGATACGAAGATACCACTTTGCACCCACATGGACAATTAAAATGCAAAAGACAGAAAATAATGAGTAAAACAAGTGTCAGCAAAGATGTGGAGAAACTGGAACCCTCGTGCAATGCTGACAGCAGTGGAAAACGTTGCAGCAGCTTTGGAAAACTAGCTGGCGGTTCCTCAGAAGGCTAAGCAGAAAATTACCATAAGACCCAGCAATTTCACTTCTAGGTATACATGCAAAGCAATGAAAAACACTGTCCACATACAAGTGTGTATATGAATGCTCATAGCAGCATTATTCATAACTGCCAACAAGTGGAAACAACCCAAGGGCCCATTAACCAATGACCATTAGGTGAAGTTGGGCCATCTACACAACGGAATTGCATTCAGCCTTGGAAAGGGGTGAAGCAGAGATACCTGCTACAATGTAGATCAATCTTGAACATATTACGCTAAGTGAAAGAAACCAGACGCAATAGATAGGATTCCATTTATATGAAATAGAATAAGCAAATCTGTAGAGACAGAAAGTAGATTAGTGGTTGCCTAGGGCTGGGGAGGGAGGGTTGACGTTGACAACTAAGGGATGAGGGTCTTCCTCCCGGGGAAGTGAAAATCTTCTCAAAGTGATGACGGTGGAAGCCGCACAAGGAAAAACCACAGAGTCATACGCTATAGATGGATGAATTATGTGGTATGTGGATTATAGCTCACTAAAGTTGCTTACAAAGAGTATAAAAGGAGGATGAGAAAAAGGAGGAGGGGACGAAGAGGGGACTCTCAGGACATACTGTGATTCCTGATGCCTGGAGCCACCTCTCAGTCAGGCCATCCCTTGCCCTGCTTGTCCCCACTCCTAGTCTCAAGCCTCAAGCGTGTACCCCAAATCTGTTCTGTTCAGCATGAAAGTAGTCACACATGCACTTTTGTCCGGTCGGACCACTATTCTACACTCTGGTCTGGTGAGGAACTCACTTTCAGCTCCTCTCAAGCCAGCGATGAACGTGAGGGAGAATTTGGGTCGTGAGACTGGCTGCCGAGGAAGCCCAGGCCTGGGACAGCCCAGAACTCCAGCCCAGTGAGGGCTGGAGGGCTGTGGCTGTAGCCAGCTGTGCTCGGGTTAAGCCCTCAGCCCCTGGAGGGTCTTCAGGGTGCCGGGTCCCTGAGCAGCCTCAATTCTGTGCTGTTGGAGGCCTGGCCCCCAGGGCCCGGTGTTTCACGGCCATCCTCAAGGCCTGCAGAATGGCATCCTGGCTGTTCCGTACATTGTAGTCACTAAGCTGCAGCAGGCGATCAAAATCTTCCTCCTTGTAGGTCATGTTGAATAGGGAATAGGGTGAGGCGGTCCCAGTGAGATCCACCTGGCCAGCTGGGAGCTCTGTGGGGCTGCGTAGGACACCTGTCCAGAGAGGGGAGGGGTTAGGAGTAGGACCCAGAGGCCTCCAGGGGTGGGCAGAATGAAGCCTTGCGACTGGGCACAGGGGGGCGCTGTTCCTCACTGAAGGGGCTCCTTGCTGTCCTCTGCCCTCTATGTCCTTTGCCCAGAAATATAAATGTGGCTAGTATATAAACACACTATTTTGAGATCTGAAGGGTTTGCTGCTCCCCACACTTCCTCATAGCAATGCACTTCCACTATAAAGGGAACCTCACAGTATCTCTCTGTATCACCTTCAGGGGCAAGGTGGAAACAGTGGGACAACAAAGTCAGGTCAGTGAAAGATTCAGCCAAGAGTCTGAAAACCAAAGGGATTTTTGCTTTGTAAGAACCAGTCTTTGTTGAGAGAGAAAGAGAATTCCGCAACGTGGGCTGAGCCTGTTAAGGGTAGAGCTGGAAGGTTTGGAATTAGAATGGGAACCAGCAAGCCAGGAATAACGTACAAAGGTAGAAGTTAAGTTTTCCCACCAGAGGAGTTAAAGGTCTGACCCACTGACAGGAGGTGAGGATTGGAAGGCCTGTGATGAGGGTTTACATTTCAGGGGCCCCAGAGTGGAGTCCCAGCTTCCTGAGAAAAGACGGCAGGCTGGGCTGGGGTGGGAGGGCAGAAGCCAACTGAAATCTCAGGTAGCTTCAGGGGAATCTGAGAGCAAGGGGCCCAGGGCCTCTCTGTCCTGGCTGTCTAGCAGTCCAACAATGTGGGGCCTAAGCACAGGTGGAGATGACTGCAGACGGGGGGACAACGCAGACCTCTGGTACAGGGATTCCCATATACCACCACGGAACAGGACTGCTGAGGAGCCCAGGTGTAGCTAGGGAGGCCGGGGGAGGGGTGCCTGGGGTCATGACAGAGGACAGCATCACAGTGACTGTGCCAACAGAGAGCCCCTGTGAGGATGCAGCACCCACAACAGAAGTCAGCACACTGCCATGTCCCAAACTGGGTGGGACTAGCCTGAAGACCCCCTCCCTTTGCTGGCTACAGGAGTGCTGGGAAGGACCCAGGCCGTGCCTCTGAGGGTCCAGGCTGCCAGGCTGTTAGGAAGGGAGGGGATGCCTTACCAGGGGCTGAGTGGTCCTTAAAGGAGGCATTGACCAGTGGGAAGTGCAGCAGGACAGGGGTATCAGGGTGAGTGGGGTCCGAGAAGAGGTGGCACTCTGTTGGCTGGTGTTGGTCCTGAGGGTTGGGGTCCACTCGAGGGAATGGCAGTCCCCGGGCCCGGCAGTACAGCTCAGTCTGCTGCAGCGTCTGGTTGGGGAGAGGGGGGCCCAGAGAGAACCAGCTACTTCCTGGCCATCCCAGGTCAGTGCTCTTGAAAATGCTAGGATAGCTCTAGCCCAAACTGACTGCTCAGTGTCAAGACAACCTGGTTCTGACCTGCGTGGGGTCTAGTGCCTTGGAGGGAGGCGAAGGATTCCAGTGATCTTCAATGTTGTTTGGTTAAAATCTTTAGGTGAGGTATAGACCTAGCACCCTTGCTCCCACTTGGGATTCAAATCTGGGTTATTCACAGGGCACCTGGGTGGCTCAGTCAGTTGAGTGTCCGACTTTGGCTCAGGTCATGATCTCACGGCTTGTGAGTTCGAGCCCCATGTCGGGCTCTGTGCTGGCAGCTCAGAGCCTGGAGCCTGCTTCGGATTCTGTGTTTCCCTCTCTCTCTGCTCCCCTCCCCCCCCCCCACTCATGCTGTCTCTCTTTCTCTCTCAAGAATAAATAAAAACATTAAAAAAAATTTTTTTTATCTGGGTTATTCAAATCCCAGAGCCTAGAGAGCCTCAGTAGGGGACCCACTTCTGTTCCTAGGTCCCCCCCAGGGGGGCCTGAGGGGATGGATGTGGACAGGCCAGGGTCTCCTCCCAGTTCTGTCTAGCTGTTCTTCTTGGGGTGGGTGTGGTGAGCTACCTCCCATCTGCCTGTCCTGGGAGCCCAGGGCCCCAGTACCTTCATAGCCCTTCTCAACCAAGGACCCTGGCAGGAGTCTGTGGGTTAGAGCCTGTCACCCTTCCTTCCCCTTGGGGACCCAGGAAGTCAGGGCCAGTGGCCCAGTGGCCCTTTGCTTGCCCCTGGAGCATGGCCTGGCTCCAGGCCCCAGAGGGTTCCCATGAGGTGACCAGAAGCACCTTAAAGGGTGAGGATAGGGAGTAGTCGAAGGAGAGTATGAGGTCCAGTCTGCGGCCTGGCCGGAACATGGAGGGACAGCTGGTGTTGAGGAAGTAGCCGCCATCTACCAGGCAGAGCTGTGGCTCCTGAGGCGTAAGCTGACCAGGGGTGGAGTCTAGCTCACAGTCTAATGGGGGAGGCAGTGATAGTCAGAGGCAGCCTCTCCACCACAGATCATCTACCTTTCATACTACATTTCCCTCCATGTCCCCTTCTAACTTCTGGAATCACTCCCTGAAAGCACACACCACCCCAGCCCTTCCCAAGACCTTCCGCAGGCCAACCCTGGAAGGGAATGCTATGACCCCACCTCCCCCCAAGTCCCCCGCCGGTCCTAGCCATGGTCCATTTCCACCTGGGAGCCTAAGCCTGTCACCTGGGGATACACGGCAGGGGCCCTCACCTGCCCAGGTGGAGAAGTCTCTCTGGCTATAGTAGTCCTGGTGCAACTGGAGGCCCCGAAGGAAGTTGAGACTATGCTGGTGGAGCGGCCTGCCTGTCAGGAAGCCCTTAAATGCCTTGGCCAGCATTGTTCCGGGTTGCAGCCAGGAGGCCTCCAGCCGTGAGGAGGTCCTCACGGAGGCAGGAGACTCCTCTGGGTTCAGAGAAAGACATTGGTCCAGTGAAAGGCCTGGAAATGCCTGGCCCTGCCTCCCCTCTGATAGTGCCCTCCCCCAAGCACCTGAAGAGGAAGTAGACTCATTTCAGGCTCCTCGCACTGTCCCCCCTTCTCACCCAGGTTCTTAATTTTGTCCTTGACATGCTGCTTCCAGGTGTCATCAGAGCTGATGAGGTCATACCAGGCATCCAGCAAGTTCAGGGACAAAACGTTGCTCCAGATACCTGAAGGTCAAACCCCCACCGAAGTCACCCTCAAGCCTCAGCACCCTGCCTCCCATCACCTGGAGGGTGGGGACGGAAGAGGGGAGTCAGGTGGGCTGCCCCTGCAATGGCTTTTCCCCACAGCCCAACTCCAGTTTCCCCCACCTCCAGGGGCTCTGCCAGACCCGAGTATGGGAATCATGTCTGGGCAATGAGGCCTGGCCCAGGACTGGCTAGAATCTTCCGAGTGACCATCACTCACCTTCCAGAAAGCAGATCCGGGACTCAGGGAGCTTCCTCATCAGCCGCCCCATGAAGAACTCAGAGCCAAAGAGATCAGAAGGGACAAAGGCTCCATACTTCAGGAACCCCACCTCATAGGGTGAAAACTCTACCCACTCTGTAGGAATAGGAGCAAAAGGCAGGAATGAGAGGAGAGTGGGTTGAGGAGAGCCCCAGCTCTGACAGGGGCCAAAGACACTGCCCCCCCACACAGGCCTTAGCCTCCTCTCTGCCTGGCTGACTCCTGGGCTCACCACTCCTCCACCCAGCCCCTTGACCACATCCCCACTACCCCACAACCAGGAGAGTGGGCTCTGCTCCCTGGCTCATTAGCCCATCAGAACCTCCTCCCTTCCAGAAGGCTGGGCACTCTGTGTACGAGTTTCCTGTTTGAATCCTCTGAAGGCCTGCTGGGTGCACAGGAGGTATGCACGTACGTGTGTGTATGAGTGTGTGTGTGTGTGTGTGTGTGTGTGTGTGTGTGTGTGTGTGTGTGTGTTGGAGGGTAGTGTGGACAGGACTAAAGACTGTACCCTTGAAGTCCAGGGTCTCCAGATGGTTCTCTTTGACGTTGAGGCTCAAGTAGAGGGGCAGAGGGTTCTGGCCCCGCTCCAGTGCAGCTCTCTGTTCCGACAGCTTCTGATCCATCACCTGGGGTGGGAGGCATGAGGGCTTAAGTGAGGTAGGGAGCATCCTGGAGGCACAGGCTGAGGGGGAGGAGGCAGCTCCCCGCTGGAATTTGGGTGGCATGGGTGGGTGCACCCATCCAGTTTACACTCCCACCCCCATATTCTGACCAGATTCAGGGTCACCATGGGGGACTATGGAGGTTGTGCACTGCACATGTCTCAAAAGAATGCCATTCACAAGGACTACTGTGTCAACAGCAATACCCTACCTCTGCTCCTATGATTCCGTTGGCCCCATCCTTATGGGTTCAAGGGTGGAGTGGATGTGGGCCCTGACACATGGACACAAAGGCACACACACACATACATTGCTTTCCAGAAAGGACACAGGAATCCCCTTTCAGTACACATTGTAAGCTCTGTCAGGGGATGGGCTGTCCCTTCTAGATTCACATGGATGCAGTTCAAGTTTCAGCCCTTCCAAAATGCTTTCCGGTCATCCTTGCCTCTCCCTCTTCACCCTCTTCTTTCCTGCTTTGCACAGTTGAAGTTGTACCCCGTTGATTAGTCTTGCCTCTGTTTCCAATTTTCTCTTCAATAAAACTCCAAGTTCTGCCTTGATGGCAAGGACTGTGGCTCGCCTTATCGAGGAGCCTCCACAGAACCTCACGGAGTTCTAGGAGCACAGAAAGGTCTCCCTCTATCCCGGACCAAGGATGCAAATAGGGTTCATTTCCAGCATCAGCAAGGTTAATGGCGGTGGCTGGCTGGAGCCCCACCTGGGGAACGAGGCTTCCACAGGTTCTGGCTGCTTCTGCCAGACACAGACACACCGTCCCTCTCTTAGGCCCTCTGAACTGGAAGGCACCGCACTCAGTAGCCAGACCTAGGGGTTTCCCAAACTGCCCTATCAGCCCTTATGATCTGATTTACTTGGAGAATGTGCTAAATTAAACATACAGATTACTGGGTTTCCTCCTGAGAATCAGCAAAAACCACTTAGGAATTTGCTTTTTCTTTGGTCTCGCCAGGTGATTCTGATGATCAGCAGATGTACGTCCCAGGATGCTAGCCCTACCTTTCCAGTGAGGAGACCCCTCCCACACGCCCGGTGTACCCCATCTTCCCCCTGCAGCCTCTGTCACTGATGCATCATCTTTTCCCCTAGTTCTGCACTAGTGCCCAATAGGACTTGAGTTCTAGGGAAACCACAGGAAGAATCCCCAAATATAGCTTAAGCCCCTGGCACTATTTGTCATACGTACAAGTCAGTCCCTCAGGTGTGAAGTGTGTATGTAGTGAAGAGAGGAGGATCTTGATCAATACCTGCAATTTCCCTTCTCAAAGGGTAATAATTCTCCAATTCTCTTCTTTTTATTTAGGCATCCTGTTTGTCTGCTCTTTTGTCTTGTACGATGAGGGAAAATGTGTCCTTTATTTACTCCAGATGAACCATTTCTGACCTGGGGGAGAGGGTCAGCACACTCCACCATCTCCTGAAATAATACCCAGCCTTCTTCTTCCTTTTTTTTTTTTTT